TTTGTTTAAAGTAAATAAATACAAAGACAGAATAGTGCTGTTTTTCTAAAAAGTGTTTTTGTACTGTGCACCACTGAATTGAACCACCTTTTCACAAGAGTGAGAAAGCCCCGACTGTGGAGCAGCTGTCTTTGGATGCACCTTCTCAGAATCAACGGTTGCATAATCATGGTTCTCAAAGTACTTTCAAGGGTCTTCTAAAATATGTTATAAATGCAATGAAAGTGTGTGCATTTGTTTGTGTTTGTGCATGTGTTCTTGACTAGATGAGGTTTGATCTTTTGTTTGACATTTTTGTCAAATCTGATAGTGCTGTATCTAAAAAAAAAATGTGGGCCATCTTTATGCATGCATGTGTGAATTCAAAACCTGAAAACACATGATAAACTGATAATTTCTGTTGTGTGACACCTTTCTGATCTCTATAGCCTTGTAAAAATGAATATGCTTGAGTTTTAACTAAGGGAAGTATTATTATAAAAGGGTATAGCATACTTTCAGGAATATGTTTTTGTCAGGTTTAGGCACTTAAATGTATATTAATTGTTCTATATTTTTAAATAAATTGGCAATTTGGAGTTGGAGAGGACCAGCACCAAGAACATGACAAAAGTGTCAAAATCCCCTTAACCAAAAATGAAATGATTGAAAATGATTGAATAATTATTTCCACTTTAAAAAATGTGGGATTAATATTTAATCAAATGCATTAATACATATATGATGGGGGACATGAAAATAAAAGGAATGACCCAACTGTAGGCTGACTACAGTAGAAAGTTTGAATTGGACAGTGGGCAGGAGATAGTTACAGTGGTATAATTAGGAGGCGATCCCCTTTAGACCGTGTCAGCACAGCTGTAATGACTCTCTTATCCATCTCAATGAGATTAAACAGGGATGAGGTGCCAGTCGTATGGCCTTGGCTGTTATGATGAAGTATTTCTCAAATAATTTAATCACACCAGCTGCCAGAGTCTATTTCCACCATTTTAACGGTTGCGATGTGGCCCGACTGGGTGGAATGTTCACATGAGCGGTCAAAAGCCTGCTTCATTCATAAACAAATGAAAGCAACATCTCTCACTGAACTGTAATCAAACAGATATTATGTGCTTTTTAAGCTTGGAAGCGTTTAACACACTAAAGATGAGCTGCGATGCTTGAGAAGGAACAAATTGTCCTAATGTCTAGGACAATGGGGCTACACCACTCACTATGGGAGGGTTCAATCACCCCCATGGAGAGCATAATGTCTAGCTCATCTTAGAGCACCGTTACCAAGCGTTCAGGGATACGATAACTCTTCTGACGGGCTGGTGTTGCCTCCCTAAGGACGACATCATGTAGCACCAGGTCAGTATGCCCCGGTTTCTCCTGAAACAACTCAGGATCCAGCAGCTGCTTTACCTGGTCTCTTTGGGGCTGCTCTAGATGAGATACATCCACTGCTTGTTGGGTGCAGCTGGTTGGAAAATACTGTTCTGTCGGTTCCTCTTCTTCCCTGACCACACGAACACAGAGTTGAGCAGCCTCCGACTCAGCCCTAGGGTGGAATTATTTCAACAAATTAATATGGAATATTTGTTTTTCTTCCCCCGCTCTGGCATAGAGATCTCATAGGTGACACTGCTATTTTTCCACACTATCTTGTAGGGACCATGTCACTTAGCTAGCAACTTATTCTCACTGGTAGGCAGCAGCACCTTTTGGCCCGGCTCAAATGATCTCTCCCTTGCCTTCTTATCATACCACACTTTCTGAGTTTGCTGGGCTTTTTTTTTTGGATGTTCTCCTGGGCCAATGATGTCATCTCTTTCAAACACTCTCTCATTTGGATCACTTACTGGACCACACTGCAAGTACCATCCTTGGGTCCCTCCCACTGTTCCTTAAGCAGGTCCTAAGGACCTCTCACCTGCCGGCCATATAACAGTTCAAATAGGGAGAAACCTGTGGAGGCCTGCGGCACCTCCCTGTAAGCAAACAACGGATATGGTAACCATTGGTCCCAGTCTGACCCTGACTTGGAAACGAACTTACGCAGCATGCTTTTTAAGGTTTGGTCGAAGCGCTCGACCAAACCATCTGTCTGGGGGTGGTAAGGTGTGGTCTTAATATCCCTAATCCCCAACAGTTGGTACACCGGTTTTAACAGCAAGGACATAAAATTAGTACCCTGATCTGTTAAAATTTTACGGGGAACACCCAGCCTGGAAAACAGCTGCACAAGGCAGTTGGCTACTTGTCTAGCTTTGATGTTTCTAAGGGGAAAGACTTCGGGATACTTGGTGGCATAATCACAGATCACTAAAATGTATCTGTTTCCATTCTTGCTTCTTTCCAGGGGCCCCACTACATCCATTCCAAGACGACTGAAGGGTGTGTGAACAGCCTTGTGTGAACCGGTAATAAATGTGCGGGTGCCACTCTCCTTCCTGAAGTCATCTGACACTCTGTACAGGTACGAATTAACTCGGTTACATCCGTATATATTTTAGGCCAAGTGAACCGACTTGCAAACCTTGCTAATGTTTTATGCTTGCCTAAGTGTCCAGCCCATGGAACAGAATGTCCCAGAGTCATAATTGTATGGCGTATTGATTGCGGAACTACTACTGCCTCAACTTCCCCTTTCACCTGATAGAGTATACCCTTCTTCAGGATGTACTTTTCCTACATTAAACAAGACACAATGTCATTTCTAACTCCATCTACTTCAGACACCTTCTGGAACCAGTCCTGCAAAGTAGAATCTTTTTTCTGCAGTTCCACTATGTCCTCAGGGATAATCACGTTAAGATGTCCTTCGGGTAACGGTAGCTCCTCAACCTGCCTACTCTCCACACTACCCCCAAATTTAAGTTTACGCCTTTCCTTTTTAGATTTATGTCTATTCTCACAGGCTACCTCAATGTCAACATCAGCAACTGGCAACTCATTGAAGTCTGCTCTAGCACCCGGGTTACCACATAACAGGACTGAACTTGGGACACCAAATCACAGAGAATGGGGAGATCTTGCCCCAGGACTACCTCCTGAGGTAAGTGGGATGAGACAGCCACATGCAACAAGAAAGTCTGCCCCTGCACTGTTAAGTAAACCTCAGCAGTAGGATACTCCCTAATTTCTCCATGCACTTCTCTTCCATGCAAACTTTACTGAAGTTCTGAGTCATATATTCATCTTCCGGAACCAAGCTGTCATGCACTAGAGTCTGAGTGCTACCTGTATCCACTAAGGCCTTGGCTGACTGACCATTCACAAGTACCTGCGTCAATAACTCTGTGGTGTGTGCTTGCAAAGACTCGTGTGGCGGGTGGGGGCATGGAACATAAGAGAGAGCAGAATGCTTCACCTTCCTGGATGGACAAAAGGGCTTAATATGTCCTAACTCACCACAATAGTAGCATCTAACTTCCTGTTTGTTAGTTCTATCCCCTTGCTTACCAGCAAAACTCCCTTTGCATTGGGCATGACCACGCTCACCCCCAGACTTACTTGGCCCTCTTTGACTCCAACCTCCAAAGCTACGCTGGGCATCTCGGCGTGCGGCCAGGTACCTCTCTGCAAGCTTGGCTGTTTCTTCTGCTGTGGCCAGATCATGCTCCTTAATCCACACTGCCATGTCAGGGCTTATCCTCATAAATTGTTCCAAGATAATGAGTTCTGACATCTGCAGAATAGTGCAGGCCTCTGGCTTCACCCATTTTGAAAAGAGATCTTTCAGTCTCACATAGAGTTCCTGGGGGGTCTCATCTGGTAGAATCTCTGAAGATCAAAACCTTTGCCGGTAGATCTCTGCATTAATCTCATATTTTATAAGGATGGCCTCCTTGACTTTGTCATAGTCCTCAGCATCAGCCTCATCCATGGCCACATAGGCACTACGTGCCTTTCCTGTTAACAGGGGAGCGAGTCTTATCGCCCAATTGACTTTAGGCCATCTGCATGCGCTGGCCATCCTCTCAAAAGTCGTCAGGAACTGTTCAATGTCGTCATCTCTTGTCAAGGGATGTAATCTCGGCTCAATACTTCATCTCTTGTCAAGGGATGTAACCTCGGCTCAATACTTCCTGCTGATGTACCTTCTCCTACAGGCACTGGACTTACAGTTGGAGAGGTTGTCTGGTCTCCCTGTCGGTCCCCTCCCGCCTGGATCTCCAAGACCTGGTGCTGAATTTGCTGGAATTGGTGCTGCATACTCCGCCAGCGCTGGTCTTGCTTCACCATTACTTGCTCCATTCGATTGTCACAGGCTGCTTGTGACTGCAGGAGAACTTTAACCAGGCCAGCCAGTTCTGACACCGTTCCTTCTTTTGAGCCCACTGCAGGAGAAGATGTTATGGGGTCACTCACACCCCCAGTAACTGTTTCTGCAACCTCAGCAGAGCTGGGTGCCTCCTGACTTAAACCTGGCTGTTCTTGTAGCACTCCCCCTCGGTCTTGTCTGGTCTTGGGTGGCATTTTGATCCCACATCTGACACCACTTGTCAACGTTCCACTAGGGGTACTGTCGGGAGTTCTTCAAACAATGAATGGAGGCCGTTGAATGCCAGCTTTTCTTTTTATTTCGATTTTCCTGAGCCAATAAAGTGCAGAGTGCTCACAGGTGCAAAACATAGAAAAAGTTCCATAGGGGAAAATCCCTTAAGGAAAAAAAAAAAAATAAATCCAACTTCAAAGTACAAAAACAAATAAATAAAAACAAACAACCTTGGGTCAGGTATAACAAGGATTCAATCATATTACTTGTTAATAGCTACTGCACACTAGTCAAAGACTAACTGACTGCTTCGTTACGTGAGAATTTATACACACGGGTTCAACCATTTCTCAGAAGCCATAATGTCACATGAAAACAATATGAAGTAATAACACATGCAAAGGATTAAAAATCAAGTAACACTATTTCCTTCAATACACCAAATATCAATAGCACAATATACCATAACTTCAATTCAGCAATAATTATAGAAAGTCAAGTGCAAGAACTCATAAAACAGTTTCCACCCCTTTCCACTCATACTTGGTATCTCCCACTCCCCATGATGCAACACAGCAAAGGTATAAAAAGGCTGACAAAAGTCCTTTCGGGTCTTTTACTCAGTTCAAGATGGCCACCACTATGTATGCTGATCCAGGTAATAGCCAACAGTTTATAAGAAAAACTTAAATGTCCACTGGTTTTAGTGTTCAGGTGTGTAAATGTGGATGTGTGTGTGTGTGTGTGTGTGTGGGTGTCATCCATCTCTCCACCTTGCTGACACATCAAGGTAAATAAAGAGTTTTAAAACCCAAGTATGTGTTTATGTCTTAATGCAAAAAGGGCTAGGCAGAGGGCAGCTCTGTGACAATTAGCGAACTGTTTGTTCAAGAAACAGTACAGTGATTTGCAGTGTTTCCTCATCCCTTGTGCATTTGATGAGTGGTGATACAACTCTATTAGGCTGATTCACAATCAGGAGTTTCAACAATTAAGTTAAAGGTTTCTAATCTTCTTTAACAAGTGTTAGTCACATTACATTCAGTAATTTTGGCTGTTCATTTACATGACAACATTGTTTCAGGGGTTTGAAGATACAAACTTTTTAAAACCGTTTTCGAAGTGTAAGTTTTTGAAAACAATATCGCCTCTGTGTGAACTACAAAAGCATGCATTTGTGAAAAGGGTGATGTCATGCGCATGCATATTACATGTTAAATCTAGGTATGTGTGCAGGCACACAGTGTTTCTTTACTAACACATCTTGACGTCGCCACCTACTGGCCTGGCATGCATAAAACAGTTTTTAGTCGTTAGTTTCCATTTTTTTAGTACATCATTATTGTGTAAACATACGCTTAGTGTAATGTACAGTACTTTTAAAGAAGTAAACAGTAACTTGAGGCACATAGACTGTGTTCTGGTATTTTTATTTTATTTATTTTTAAGAAAAAAAATTACTGCATTTATTCAGCAAGGATGCATTAAATTGTTTTAAATAAAAATTTAAAGTAAAAGTAAATTGACAATTCATGTTTTTGCAAAAGATTTCTATTTCAAATATGCTGCTGTTTCCCCATTCATCAAAGAATACTTGAAAAATGTTTCACTATTTTCACACAATAAATAAATGTTTCTTAAGCAGCAAATAAGTATTAAAATGATTTCTGAAGGATCACATGACACTGAAGACTAATGTAAATTGTAATAATATTTTACAATATTTCTGTTTTAACTCTTAATCAAACTGGTGAACATAAGAGACTTATGCATAAGAAATGTAATAGAAATAAAAAGATCCCGAACTTTTGGAAGATTTGAAGACTGTCAATTAAATCTAATTTTATTTTCAATTCAATTCAAGTTTATTTGTACAATTCTGTGTACTGTCTTTTGGCCCAATAAGTAATATCTCGGTCTTATCCAAATATGAATACGAATATGAATTTTATCATGCTGTATGGAAAACAAATAATACAACATAATACAATTCTTTATGCTGGCTTATTTATTCAGTAAATGGTCTCAGTCCTTTACTGCACTGGTGATACAACAAAATTGCTTCCACATAAGCCTGTTAATGCTCAAAATCAAGGGCAGGGTACAGTGACAACCTCTGACTTTTCAGAACCTGGAAACAAACCACTGCGAATACAAAATATAGATATAGAAATACAGATATATGGTACAGACAAATGTTTGTTTCTCAGCACTGACTGTCCGAACACCTTGTTGGAGTTTTAATATAGTACACTAATCCTGGCACATTGTCTCTTTTGCAGCAATACTATGGTGTGTTCATTCTCGTAACTGCAACTTTGTGGCTTTATATCTCACAGTTGTGACTTTAGTTCTCTTTTTTTTTTCAATATAATTTCTTGTTACTTGGATACTTCATCTCACAATTGTGATGAGGGAGCCTCCAAAGAGAGCCGGTGCCCCGGGGCTCCACAGAACCGTAATCCGTTCGTGCTCAAAAGCACCATTTCACCTAAAAAGCTTCAACCTGTTTGCTCACACACTAGCCTAGATCCTGAAATAGCCTCTCAAACTGCCCTATTGCACTTCTTGTTCTGGTACAATAAGCTTCACAGCTGTTACTCTGAGGATCACTTATATGCAGGTTAATATGCGAATGTTATTGAGTTCAGAAGAGACGACCTCTTAAAGAGATTTTCAATAACTACTTGGAATTTATTGAAGCAATATAATGATTGACAAAAAATAGATTCTGAATGCAAAATCAGGTTTAATCAGCTTTTTGACACAAAATAAATGTTTTATTTACAATGAGCAAAGGGGAGAGCTAGCCTGACTCACCTTTTCCATTTTTATCGCACTGCTAGTAAAGAGCGGATGGTAAGGGCATAAACTGTATTGTATAAGTGTGAGCTATTGTTAGACACAGTGGCATCTTCTCTGTGCTGCCTGACCATTGTGAAATCCATCAGCAAAGCATTCATCCGTATAACGTCCGGAAAGCCATTCTGCCTCAGAAATGTATTTCTCCTCTCCCACTGTGTTATTTTAAGGTAAGATTAATATCAATTCGAAGTCTCTGCGATGAATTTCTAGAGGGCATCCCAAGGCAAAGTATGCAAAAAGTGAAATTTGTTGTAGCAATGTGCCGCATGGAACATGATCACCATATGGCTCTCGTCAAATCATCATAATGTCAACAACAAACATATGTGGGTCTGTCTTGTGGCTTGTTTTCAGGAAAACATGTGCTTTATTATTCGTGCTGAACATTTGTATCGAGGAATAATGCAAAGAGGCATATTTCTGACAGCGTATTCTTCTGTGTAATGTTTCTATTGTGTTATCAGGGATATGAATATATTTGCCAAGCAGCCGTGCTCACATTTCTCTTATACTGCTGCCTTCAGAGGTGCACATGCTTACTGCTACAAAAACTCCAGTTCTCTGGTTACAGATGCAATAAACTTGATTTGTTGGAAGATCAACAATCAACAGTCATCAGTATTTGAACATAATGCTGATATGACATTATACTGAAAATTATTCTGAACTATTACAATCTGGCTGGTTATTTCTTAGAAGCATTGTAAATCAATACAGTGAACTTTATATCATAAAATAAGCTCGATAATTTGTTTTGAAATTTAGTTTGACAATGAAAGTTAATTATAATTTTGTAGCCACCTAGTGATTTTAGAATTCCTTAATAATAAATTAATATGCATTTAATTATATTATAATAATTATAATAATGCTACTTAATAATGTATTAAATGCACTTAATAATATTGTTAAATGCATAATGATGATGATAATAATAATAATAATAATAATAATAATTACATTAATTATTATTATTATTATTTTACATTAATCTCAAAATGGGCCTGTTTTCTTTATTTTGAAGACGTTTGTACGCAGTAAACGGGGGCGGATCTAGAAGATGATTTTTAGGGTGGCAACACCAAAGCAAACAACATTCAATCATCTGTATGTAATCTATAGTATATAATCTATACAACAGCTATACTATAATTGAAAACAAATTATGGCTGCAAGCAGCAATCATCGGGGTCCAAGCACCAATGGCCCATGTGCATGATTAGCGATCTAACTGAAACTAATCTCATGATGCCTTTTTTTAGTCCAACTTGAATCTTCACTTAGGGTTTGATGAAACTGGTTACAGCAAAACACAGGGGTCAAAAAGTGCAAACGACTTTCAAAAGAAATAACTCCTTCTGATTGTTTAAAGGAGACGGCAAAAATGCTCCTCTAAAATGTTTACTGTCATAAGGCATGTGATCGTAATATATTTGGTGTAAGTCTGAACTTATTTTCAACATTTAGACTAATCGCATGTCCATCCATTTCAAATGAATGTGAAGATATCATTTGCAGCTCAAAACTGTATCTGAAGCATTTTCTCTAGGATCTTTTATCATTTATTTCAACAATTATGTGTAGCCATAACTTATGCTTGCAGTTTAAGTGTTTGTTTTATTATTCATACCACAATAGTAAATGAGTGTCTTTATATACATTTTATAATATTTAAATATAGTATCTTGCAAAAGACAAATACAATTGTCTCTTCATTTTAAATGGATAGCAATATATTTCATCATGTCTGGCAACTTGAAAATGTTTTATTGGGTCTATAAAAAATAAATAAAGATAAGAATCTATAAGAATTGTACAGATTTCAATGTACACTGATTATATAAAACTATGCTGTCAGTACACCGCACTTATACAAATGAAGTAAATCTATGACATTAATTTTCCAATCAAAGGGATGAAAACTGATCGAAAAAGATTAGGCTTAAAACATTCCTTGTCCTGTGGCTCCCTCTGGTGGACAACATTAATATATATTTAAATTGAAAATGGCTGATAAGTTTAGAATTTGCAGATACGATCATAAATTCATTAGAGATCCAATTCAGCGTTAGTACTTGGATCCCTAATAACAAAATATCAATATCCAGGGAAACAAGGCTATTAAACACTCAACACATTCTAAATGTCTAAACTCATTAGAGTAGGTCTACCATATTTATTTATGTAGGCTAATTGGATGATATATAAATCACAAGTTTTAGTGCATCAAGTTTAAGAGCAAGGAAAACTTTCGAATTTGCTAGAAAGAACAGTCAAAATATCAAAGCACTGGGAATGTCTGTATGTGTTGATTACGGGAGGTCACGCAGAACACTCAAACAACCACACAGCAACCACCCAGCAACACTTGAGTAGCAACCCTGAACACCCAACTATCTGTTTGTCCGTCTGTCATAACCTGCAAACTATTTTAAATCTGAGGAAAAAGACCTTGTCAAGCCAACATACAGATTTTCTTTCAAAAATGTCATAGTTAAGATTAGATTTCTTACCCAGCTCTGCCATTAGCTGTTATTTGTTTGTTTGTTTGTGGGTGAAATGTTGATTTAAATATCACTACATTAATTGCATAAAATTTTGACCAACAATGTTTTATACATAGTATTACATATTTATTATTATTATTATTATTATTATTACACTTAAACTATATTATAATTTAACAATATATGCAGATTATTATTGTTGGTGTTATAGGTTTTTTCTTTTTTTTTAGATAAAAACAAAGAATACATCTGGCTCAGAACAAGCTATATATTATATAACTACTGGACAACACAATGAATAAAATACATTTAATTCTGTTTTGACAGGCTAAATAAATAGATGCTAAAATAATTTAGTTGAATGAATGAGTTTTAAATGGCATTTCTCGACTCTGTGTTCACAGGTGATGTATGCTGGACACAGGTGGAGCTGCTCTGGTTCAAAGTGCTGCGCCGGTCTTTTCAGAATGAGTGACCGCCTCCAGCGAGCCCTGACTCCGCCTTCCGCAGGGCTGCGTGTCGCTGAGCGGAGAGAGGCAGCGGCAGTGCGAGCTGCGCCGCGCGTCAGTGAGGGAGACAGACACCGTTCCTGCATATGCGGCCACCGGCACCTCACTGAAACACACCGACCATGGACCTATTCGAGTTTGACTTCTTCAGGGACTGGGAGCTGGAGCAGCAGTGGTACGTCTGCGGGCTTTATGTGTTTATGTGCATTCATTTTATTGAATGAAATGTCTTTGTCATGCGCTCCGATCTGACGTGGTCACATTCCGAAATAGGAGTGAAACCCATTATGACGCATGATAGCGGCTGTGTCTCAACCCCTAGGTGAGCAACCTACCTTCACAGCGTTTTGGGGCATCGTAGACGCGTTCCGAACGCGCATTCGCAAAGCGTCTATGATGTCCAGAAATGTTGTCTTGGTAGGCAGCTCGCTATGTTTCGTAGTGCTGACTTCTGCTGTCTCCCGGTGATGTGACTGCTCTTCTGTTTATATAGATGCATTTATAAAAGATGATTGGGACAAGCTTTAATTACAGAATCGCTGTTTTAATGAATTGCGTGGAGATGCATAGGTTGAAACCTAAAAGAAACAAAGAGCAAGCAGCTTGTGCCACTTCTTCCTGCTACTTTAAACTGAATGTACCAGATCATAGATTATTATTTGATTAGATTATTATGAATCAAAAGTCCTATACAAGTCAACTAGACACACTGTATTTAAGTCTTCATGTTTGGGCAATTACATTGTAAGTAATGAGTAATATAAATGTAATTGATATGCAATTACATATTAGTCAAATATATTGTGATGCATCCTCTAAACTCATTTGATTAGTGGTTTAAGTACTGCAGTTTATAACATGTACATGGACATTATCTTATGTATTCTGTAGAATTTGGAGGTGTTTGCATTTTTTTTCTTATATAAAACAATCCCGCAGAAACAACATTCGCAGACATATTCAGTATATTGTTTTTTTTTTAGTGCAAAAGTGTAAGCTTGATATGCATGAATTTTGTTATAAATCTCAACTAGTAATTGTGAAGGATTTGTTAGTTTTTATCCATTACTTTATCATGCAAACATAAATATGTCATATTAGTTTAGCCTATTTAATTGTCATTGTTAATGTGGGCAGTCAGCTATTGCGCCCCCCGCTGGTTAGGGCTATGTGTTATTTATATTTTTATGTAAATACAATATGATTTCAGCATAATTCTCTGCCTTAAATCTTTGCTGGTTTTTAACACTCTCTACATCCCCACCATGTGGCAGAGTGCAGGAACCCATACAAAATCAATATAGCAGAAAAAACTGAACAATAACAATGAAACCTCTCCATGGATTTTGTGCATTTATCACTTGGCATATATTGACAAATTCACATGAACTTGAATACGTTGGTTTGGTTAGTTGCTATTGTCTTGGATGACGTACGTCTTTTTCCTTTGTTGAGCTGATTCTTAGTTGCTTCACATGTTCAACACCTTCCTACGATTGTATCCTCTTTCTTTTGTTTTATACTCACTGTCCTGCACATAACAGAGGATCGTTGAGCTGTTAGAAGCAGAAATGTGATTTGTATAATATGGTTTTAAGTGGTCACATATTATTTTTTAAAGCTGTTAGGTCAGCATATGATTTTGCCACTATTTTTTTTATTACTCCTTTCTTTTAGTTATTTAACACATTTTGGTTACATCTCTCCCTTAAAATGTTTTAAAAAAGAATATAATCATCCATCAGACGATACTCAAGTGTTATGATATGTCAGTATTTTGTCTAGGGACTTGCTGTATAACATATGAATCCTTTTTTGAATTCCCTTCAGTGATGGCACGTTGGCTTGTTGACATAAACCGTCTGTTGTCTGAAAAGGAGTTTCATATCACACTCTTTATTTTCCATATAGTCACTACAAACATATATAGCAGAACTTAAGGTTAAAGGTTATTTTTCTATGCGCCATGCTGATATTAAAACTATTCTCTCTCAGGAACAGCTATGGGCTAGTTGCTTATTACTTCTGCGGTGGTGGCAATTTTGTCTGTTGTTGCCACATTCATAACCCTGAGCTACCCATTAAGTCTGTGAATATTTATGAGGGTATTTAAAAAGCCATTTTTTGTGTGCTAAGTTTGCTTGGTCTGGGTTCTAAAGGCAGTATTGCTATTTTACCACTATCCGTAGACTGTCAACCAACCAAAAAGGCATTTGAAATGTAGATTCGGCTAAATACGTAGATGAATGATAGCTCTGTGTTTTGTAGCGATAAATCAATGTTTCAGAAGCAAGCGTAAAATAATAATGCACTCATAATTCATTGTCTTTGTGCTTAATACTTGCCATCTTTATCTGATGGCCCAGGGCTGTATTCAGCAATCATATTGATTTGAATCTGATCTCCCGTATGTTGGTTTGGGCTTCGACACGAGTTGGATATAATCAAGTCAGATTAGGTGGTGCAAAATTCAGCAAGGTGCAAAATGAGCTCAATGGAGAGCAGTGCCTTATTTGTAGACAAAGGTTAAGCATGGGAGGCACTGAGGCGGTGGGGATTGGGACATGCTTTTTCGTGCTGACACAGCCGTGACATGAATGGCTGCCACAATTATGTTGGCTCTTCACTTTAACAGAGTCAAATGGCTTTGAAGTGTGTTTTTCGATTATTTTGCAAAAGTAATTGCTCCTCTCTCTCTCTGTGTGGTGCAGGTTTTCGTTTGGTAAATCATTTTGTATTATGAGCGTGTAAGTTAAGTATTTGTCATAACCAATGCATTTGGATTAGAGAACCGGAGCTATTGTTAATTAGACTTTATATGCCTATATTTTATAGGTTTGCACCTTTAGTGGTAATAGAAGACCTTGTAATTAGGTGCAGCCATTTATTTGTGACTTTCTTTTCATTTGGTGGGACTTTATGGCCGCCCTGAGAGCAGGACCAGACGGGATTATTCAATGACTCAGTTGTGCCTTTTTTTTCCTGTTTCTTGCCCTTTCTCAGCAGGGATTTCTCTCCCAATAACTCATTTTTATATCCTGGTGTTAAAATGTGCAAAGCCGAATGAGAAGTTAACAGAATTTCAGACTCTGAGCATTTGTTTCGCATATGGAAAACACAGGCATTACTTTTGCATTGTTAGTATCAATATTCAGAAAACCATTAAATGTGTGTTTTATCATTCATTCATTCTAGCTGTTCACACTGAACAAAGTGTGTATCATCTTTAAAGTTGATGAAAGTTAAACTAGATCCTCATTTCGTTTAGGAATGGGTTTTAGGTACATGTAGGTTGTAGGCTTTGATTCTGCATAAATACAATTTCACATCATAACTGCTTTGTCATTGTCACAACCTATGTTCTAGCAGATTTGCATGTGAATAAACATGCACAACAAAGTATTTGCTGTGTAAGCATATACAAGTAAGATGAGACCAATCACAATTTAGTATGTAAAAATATGTAATAAAGAAGACCAGTCAGCAACCATGGGAATATTACTGACATTATCAATCTACATTCTCAGTGTAGAATATATCTAGTTGTGACCACATGACATATACACTATGCACTTTTACTATAGTATTGTATTGTCTATTGTATGAATTTTATGAATATGTGAGTTTTGTCAGTGCATCATCTAAAGTGCACTATTTCTTTTTTTTTTACATTTTCAGTGTGAACATGCTGCACACAATATTTATACTACACAACGGCATAGAATATAGTGCATAATTGGGATGCACCTAGGAGTCAGTGAAAATCGAAGGGACATTTAAAAAAAATAAATAAATACTGAAACTACAAAAACAGTTTGAAAGGAGTCTCCAAGTAGAAAAATGTAATTAATTGTATTAGGGTTTTATAACAAACTCTAAGCACAAAATGTTGAGATATATCAATTCCTGCAAGATAAACACAGAAAAAATCTTTCTGACAATTTTAGTTGACAGAATTACATTGATAAAAATGATTAATTAAGCATATAAATGTAACATATTCGTTTGGTAGCCCACTTAAGATGGATTTGTAGCAAAAAAATAAAAAATATATATATACACACACAATATATATATATATATATATATATATATATATATTTATATGATATATATGGGGGGTCTGATTTTCCAGGGCATCTTATATATATGTATTATTTTATGCTGAACTGAGTAATTCTGAGTAATCTAGACAAGACTTTGTTACATATATTTACATTTTTCTTTATTGCTGGTATTGACTGATGCAATGAACCCTTTTCACACACTGTCGAAATGTTGGCTAAACGCCCAAAACCAGTGAAATACAATACAAACTATGAGAAAATAAATGGTAGCAAACAAAAAGAAACTGCATATTGCCAATGCCAAACCAAGTTCTCTCCTCCGTAATGTAGCATTTATTTAGTTAAGTTTAGAAAGTAGGGCACTCAGAGTGTGACAAACAAAATGTTCTGTTATGCTGTGAAACAACACTGTGTGTGTGTGTGTGTGTGTGTGTGTGTGTGTGTGTGTGTGTGTGTGTGTGTGTCGTGTCCACTTTGTGGCACATTGTGTGCCGTTTCTCTTTGCTCCCATGCTGTTTAGTCACAGGGATTGAACATTCTCCGTGGTCATGGCACAGATCTACCGCTTTTCCCAGCTTCCCTCGCCTTCCCGCTTCCACCTTGACCACAGCTGGGGACTATATATCACACGGCTCGCTCGAGGAGCCGCGCTCCATGCCAATCTCATTTGTGCCCGGCTTGAAAAGGCAGCCAAGCCAGGCTGTGCCCAGCACATCTCTGCAGCCGCCGCACAAGCGAGGAGGCTCGGCAGTTGGCATGCTGTTTGTGAGAGCAGGCTGCCAAGCACAGTGCCCGCGATCTCATTTTGCCACCTGCAAAAAGAAAGCCAAATGCTGTGGCATGATAAAGCAGCAAGGTTGGCACGCCGGTCAGGTTATACGGGAGAGACAAAAGGTAATGGGTTGCCACCCTTCTACAAACTGCGAATTTGAGTAGAGATCTAAAGATCTATGGACACAAATATGACGTTAAATGTAATTTATAATTTTTTTTTTTAAATGATATGAAAACTGCAAACCAGTCTAGACCGATTTACTTTTATCTTAAATGTCTTTGGTCTTATTATGCAGAATATTCTGAAAAAAATAAATAATAAATAATTAATGAT